AATGAAAATAAATAAATAAATGAGAAAAAACTGGGAAGGCACATCAAAGATCATGCAGCCAGACATGATAGTACTGGAACTGCTGAGAAACACCAAAGAAAAAAGATTTTGTGAAAAAACTTCCAGTGCAACATGTATAAAGAAAAATAAGTGACAAAAATCACATTAAAAAATACTTGTCATTTATAAGACATTAAATCCAAACATGAAGAATCAAGTGTAAAAAAAAATTTAATTAATTAAAATGCACTTTTGAACACCACAACCTAATTAATGGTGATTCTTGCTATATAGAGCTATAAGCCTTATAAATGAAATGGGCAAAGTAAATAGAATTTGAGTATCTTAAATAGAGAAGTATAATTTTTAAAGAGGCAAAATAGGTAGACAAGTTTTAAAATTCCTGATACTCACATTTAAATTTAATGAGCAATTTCCGTTAATTGTTATGTAAATTCAATAAAAATGCATGTTTGAGAGGATCCCCTCTCAAAAACAAGCTGAACATGGTATATGTAGATATAAACAAAGGTCACCAACATCTCATACAACTCTGTTAACCTCTTAGATGTGACCTTTAACCTAAAAGACATATTTTGGACCATACAAAAAACCTAATACAGTAAAACTGTATATTCACTGCAAATCTAACCACTCAGAAAGTGTCATCAATGCTATATTGAACTCAATAAATGAGGCTATCCACAATTTCCAGCAATGAAAACATGTTAAAAACATCAAAGAGTGAGTACTAAGATATGCTGCCAGTAACATGGATAGTGAAAAACTAGCAAGTAATTCAGTTTCATGGGCTATAAAAGACACTGAAAATGCTAATGTGTGAAAGATAAAATATTCAAACAAAAATAAAACAGAATAATTACCGTAAATGTAAACCAATCAGGCCGCTTTTCGAGAGCAACCTGCCTCTTTACCAAACAAATCCACTCAGTAAACTTAATATAAAACAAAAATAAGGTTTGGCAGTTCCAGGGTGAACATCACCATAAGTAGTGCCAAAAAACAGGAATAATTACCATAAATGTAAATAGATTGTGCCAATTTTCAAAAGTAACCTGCTTCTTTGCCAAACAAAGCCAATTAGTAAACTTAAAGTAAAACAAATAATACGGAAAAAGCTAATGTCCCTACATAGGGAGGTAAGAAAATTTGATTCATGAAACTCATATTGTNAAAAAGAACCCCCCTTTTGAAATTGCTGGCTACGGGCCTGCTGTCTGTCTGTCTGTTTGTCATCAACATAGCTCAAAAAATTGTGGATGAATTTTGATGGAATTTTCAGGGTAGGTCAGAAATGGGTTAACTTAGAAGTGATTAGTTTTGGGGGTGATCAGGATCAATAATCAATCAATAATCAAAAAACTAAGTTATGGACCGATTTTGATGAAATTTTCTGGAACTGTCAGAAGTGGGCCAAGGAACAGATGATTAGTTTTTGGTGGTGAGCCGGATCAATAATCAATAATCAAAAATATCAAAAATTTAGGGGTGAAATGGCATTGGATGGAGACTTTGCTGCCTTGGCGGAGGTCTGCGGTCTCTGAGTGCTTTTCTAGTTATGAAGGTTAATGCTAATTATGAAACAGATTTACTTTTTATAGATGCTGACCAGATCTTTGATTATAGTTCAATGAACCTATATCGCTCTATGAAGTTGTAAATACTGTGAAATTACTCAGAAATAATAAGTCACCCGGGCCAGACACTTGCTAAATGAATACATAAAATCATCTATACATATTATGGCACCATTATATTTAATCAGGAGTGGATTCAGGCTGTCTTCTGGGTCTTCCGGAAGACGGTCAGATTTTCAAGTTTTTATTGATAGGTATCTAATTTTTTTTTGTCGGAAGATGGTCAAAAATGGAGGATGGATCAACAAAGTTAATTTGGAAAACTGTCAGAAAACATCTCTGGATCCACCCCTGTTAATGTAGTATTTGATTCTGGAATTGTACCAGATGCATGGCTTAATGGACCCATTAAGCCATTATATAAAAATAAAGGATTAGCTCATGAACCATAAAACTACAGGCCTATTTCCTTGTTAAGTAGTTTAGCCAAGGTGTTCACATCGATTCTGAGCAAAAGGCTAACTACTTACTCAGATAGCACAGATATATTAAAGGAGAATCAAAGCAGATTTATAGCTAATTATTCAAAAGCCGATAATATCTTTACTTTGTACTCTTTGACTGAATTATCATTCTTAAAAAAGAAGAAGTTATATTGTGCTTTTATAGATTTTAAATCCGCCTTCGATAAAATATAGAGAATGGGATTATGGAGAAAATTATTTAGTGACCAAATAAGTGGGAAATGCCTAAAGATTACTATGAATATGTACAATGAATGCAAATCAAAAATTACTTTTGGCAATTTCGTGCTATGTAGCTGTTGTGCTACTGACGGATGTCATTTTAANAAAGAGAACCCCCCTTTTGAAATTGCTGGCTACGGGCCTGCTGTGTGCCTGTCTGTTTGTCATCAACATAGCTCAAAAAATTGTGGATGAATTTTGATGGAATTTTCAGGGTAGGTCAGAAATGGGTTAACTTAGAAGTGATTAGTTTTGGGGGTGATCCGGATCAATAATCAATCAATAATCAAAAAACTAAGTTATGGACCGATTTTGATGAAATTTTCTGGAACTGTCAGAAGTGGGCCAAGGAACAGATGATTAGTTTTTGGTGGTGAGCCAGATCAATAATCAATAATCAAAAATATCAAAAATTAAGGGGTGAACTGGCATTGGATGGAGACTTTGCTGCCTTGGCGGAGGTCTGCGGTCTCTGAGTGCTTTTCTAGTTATGAAGGTTAATGCTAATACTAATTATGAAACATTTACTTTTTATAGACGCTGACCAGATCTTTGATTATAGTTCAATGAACCTATATCGCTCGATGAAGTTGTAAATACTGTGAAATTACTCAGAAATAATAAGTCACCCGGGCCAGACACTTGCTAAATGAATACATATTATGGCACCATTATATTTAATCAGGAGTGGATTCAGGCTGTCTTCTGGGTCTTCCGGAAGACGGTCAGATTTTCAAGTTTTTATTGATAGGTATCTAATTTTTTTTGTCAGAAGATGGTCAAAAATGGAGGATGGATCAACAAAGTTAATTTGGAAAACTGTCAGAAAACATTCTGGATCCACCCCTGTTAATGTAGTATTTGATTCTGGAATTGTACCAGATGCATGGCTTAATGGACCCATTAAGCCAATATATAAAAATAAAGGATTAGCTCATGAACCATAAAACTACAGGCCTATTTCCTTGTTAAGTAGTTTAGCCAAGGTGTTCACATCGATTCTGAGCAAAAGGCTAACTACTTACTCAGATAGCACAGATATATTAAAGGAGAATCAAAGCGGATTTATAGCTAATTATTCAAAAGCCGATAATATCTTTACTTTGTACCCTTTGACTGAATTATCATTCTTAAAACAGAAGAAGTTATATTGTGCTTTTATAGATTTTAAATCCGCCTTCGATAAAATATAGAGAATGGGATTATGGAGAAAATTATTTAGTTACCAAATAAGTGGGAAATGCCTAAAGGTTTCTATGAATATGTACAATAATAGCGAGCGCAGATGTCCCTAGGTGGCGTTAGTTGTTCTATTTCGCGAAGCGCCATTAAAACTGTCCCCAGAGTATCAGATTTCAACCCGCTCTTACAATGCACGGCGTGTCTCAACTACTGCATCAGGAACAACCCTACCTTAACACGTGATAGAGAANGTGCTACTGACGGATGTCATTTTAATAAAGTGGATTCAAGGAGATACGAACAAACACGCCTTTTCACTTCAAAACAGCAAACCGGAAGAACAGGGAATGCTGGGATTTATTTCAGCATAATTAATTATGATAATTATGTTATCATATTCCAACACCCCCACTTGATAGCATAATTTCAGAACTTACACAACATCTACATTCTTGCAACAATTACAAATGCACCAAGTCTCTTTGCATTTCTCATTTACATTAAATGTCTCTGTTCAGTATTACAAGAATTTACAATTGTCATGCATTACAGGATCTAATATCCAAATATGAAATCTTTAAATCTTTCCAACTTAAACTTGTTTGCAGGCTTTGTGAATAAATCAGCCATCATATCTGTGGTTGGACAGTATTCCACAGAAACACTACACTTGTTGTATTCTGCACGAACAAAATGGTATTTCACATCAATATGCTTGGATCTTTGATGTTTCACAGGATTCTTAATCAAAGCTATAGCACCTTGGTTATCCTCATAAATTGTTACAGGACTAACTCCACAAAATGTGCTATTTCCAATCCCCTTAATCAACTGACTTAGATACAGACTCTCTTGTACTGCACTGGCTAGAGCCATGTACTCAGCTTCACAAGTTGAGAGTGCTACAGTAGGCTGTTTCCTAGCTTTCCACGAAATAAGTGGTCCATCTTGACTTAATGAAAAACAATACCCTGTATAACTACTTTTGCACTGGGTCTAACACCCGTCACTGCCTCAAAAGGCGTCATTTCAATGTGGTTGTTGTAACATCTATTCCTAATATGTGCAGCAGCCATCACCGCATACACCCACATTACCTTGGGTAATTCTGCCTCAATCAGTAAACACCTGGCCATTTCAAATAAAGTGCGCCACTCTCGTTCTACTGTACCATTTTGATGAGGCAAATATGGTGCTGACATTTCATGCTTTATTCGATTCTCAACTAACACAGCTTGAAAATCTTTTCCAGTAAACTCTGTACCTTCGTCTGATCTCAGATGTTTAATCTTGCCATATGGCGCTATGTCTGCAATAAATTTTCTCAAGGCTTCTGCAGAATCTGATTTTCTTCTAAGAAAATACACTGAAGTACATCCAGAAAAATCATCTACAAATGCAATACAATATCTGTAGCCCTCCTTGCTTACAGGAGTAACAGTACCAGTAAGATCAGTGTGAACTAACTCAAATGTCACTTAGCACGACTATCAGCCACTCTGCTAAAGTGCTGTGTCATCTTACCCATCGTACACACTTCACAATCACTAAACTTCCTATCAGTAATTTTCATGTCCTTAACTACTGATTCAAGCTTCTCAATATCTCTAACATTACAGTGGCCCAAAACCTTATGCCACTCTTCTAAGCTATGCTTGACTTCTGAATTAACATTGATACTATACAAGTAATATAGTCGACCATGTTTCTCAATGTCAAAGATAGTTCCATTTGTCGCGATCATTTCCGCATGATCTGAATTGAAGGTGATCTGGCATCCTTTCTCAGTAGCTGCTTGCACTGAAAAAATGTTCTGTTTGTAACTTGGGACATATAATGCATTGTCTAAAGTCACGTTTGCTACATTCCCATCAGCAGTGGTCAGTGACACATTAACTTTCCCTCTTCCTTGGGCTATGCCATTGGTCCTAGTTCCATCAGCCAATTCAATAAAGTGTTTGTCTGGGTCAAAGTTTTTGTCAAATTCTATGAATTTTGATTTGTCTGTCACTATGTGTGACGTGGCTCCACAGTCCACAAGAAAACTAACATGCCCTGGTGTTTGACACATGTTTTCTGTCATTTTGAATACAAAGTTACAGTTTTCTTCAGAATTTGATACATTGTTTATTACCTAGGCATGATGTGTTCCACGCACTTGGTTCCTCTGCTTTGACTCGTCTGCCCAGCATTCATACGATTTATGTCCTCTTTTATTGCATGTCCAACAAATCACACCTTTTCTGTCCTTTCGTTTCACATGACGCGACGAACTTGATACTTTCATTACAGTCTCTTTCTCTTTACTGCTTGTATCAGTTTGTGATTTTTCTGTGTCATCGTAGTTTTTCAGAGCTACTTTAAATTGGGTAAAGTCTAGTTCTTTCTCTCCCTGTGCTAACACTACAGAAAATGCTTTATATTCAACTGGAAGTCCTTTCAAAATCATTGCAATTAGTAAGGCATCATTTACAGTTTCTCCGGCATTATCCAGTGCAGCCGCAGCGTTTTCAGCACGAATAATGTAGTCGGTTATCGACTCCTCAGTCTCCTTTTGCAACGACGACAACTCGGAATACATCGCTATCACTCTAGGCTTTCCTTTACCTAAGTGATAGTCTCTTAACAACATAAGAGCCTTCCTTCCGTCGTTCTCAGCGTCACGCATGACTAAGCTGAGACTTCTGTCGTCCAGACACTGTATGAGCTCTGCATACGCTGTCTCGTTTTTGGAGTGAAAATCCTCTGGCGTCTCCGCTCCCGGCAGAATCGTCTGCTTTAATCCTTGAAGATGCAGATATCCTAAAAATTTGGTTTCCCATAGTTCGTACTTCTTTTCGTCTCCATTGAATAAAAGGCGTCCTCGGGGCCCATAACCTGTTGCGCTACTGACGGATGTCATTTTAATAAAGTGGATTCAAGGAGATACGAACAAACACGCCTTCTCACTTCAAAACAGCAAACCGGAAGAACAGGGAATGCTGGGATTTATTTCAGCATAATTAATTATGATAATTATGTTATCATATTCCAACAGTAGCTCATTGTTAAATCTTCCCCAGCACATTGCATCTAGCACGAAAATTCATGCGTTAGTACTCCTATTGACGATTCTGATATGTACTGGCTGTACTAACACAGTGTGCTAACACAAGGTCAATAGGAGTGCTAATGCGTTTCGTACTACATTGCATCGTGATGTGAACAGTGCACAACTAACACAGTCGATACCATGTGTGTTCTTCACTTCATATGTCTTATCCTGAACTCACCGATAAAGTTTGCCAACAGAATATATAACAAAACCATCTAAGAAAAGTGCCCTGATGGAAGATGACACTCAGTGTACAGAACGTTTGATGAAAAGTCCGGCTTTTCAGCGTCACCATTTGCACGCGCCATATGTAAACATTGTTGAGTGTAGATGGCGCTGTGCAAGAGGTGACACTTTGGATTTGTAATGGACTGCGACCAAGATACTTGTGCAAGGCGGGAGGGGGGTTTGGCATCGCAACAGATATGACCAAGGTCCAGCCACTGTGATATATAAAAAATTATTGTGATACTCCGGAGAAATTATAAAAAAAGATTATCACATCAGCGCCCTCTATGCTTTATCGCTGTCTTCACTAGCACAATATGATGAAATTCATGGGCACCGTCACAATCATGTTGAGACAGACTCTGAGAATAAATACTGTAGCATTAACCCTGTTGTAACTCAACTTCCTCAATATTCTCCCGTACCATTACGTACCCTGTCAACATTGACAATTGTCAGAGAGGAAGATTCCCGTGCAAGACCCATGCCCTCCACCCCGACGCGCGCGCGCACACACACACGCACGCACACACATACACACACACACACACACACACACACACACCTATTTTTATGCTTTGGAAAGTAACGCGTCGGTTAGAATTGTGTTGTTAGCCGTTTACTATTATAAAATACTCTGACTTTACAAAATGATATAGAAAAATCAAATAAGCAATTAAGAAATTTATTAAATTCCATTTAGAGTCATTCAATATTTTAAGAATTTCTACTAACAGCCTATTTTTAATCAATAATTAAAACAAGTCATATTTTGCGCTCCGATATTTCAGTCTCCGTTGTGTGGCTTGTTCAAAAATAGCAAACTTTGACTCCACGTAGATTCTGTCGGCACTTTATGTTCCATTTGTAACGTAGCGTTGATGCTTTGCCAGTTAATTTTCCAGTGCTGCGTTTTTAGTAATGGCGCTCTTTCTAAATAGACGTCATCTTTAAAGTTCATCTTTGTGAAATACTATAGTAGAAACANCATATACATTTCTCAAAAACATACGCATACATACATATCCATATACCCTACCATGCCACTTTACTGCGTGCTACGAGTAACTACTGTATAAAATAAATACATATAAAGACAATCAAATAAATATTTTTCAGAAAACATTCGATGTCCCTGAATTACGGATGCCCTCCATTTTTTTGATTTTCTGTAAATGTATTATTTTACCTGAGAAATTAGTAGATTTATTTTCTAATCATCATTTCCAAGAATAATATCCGAACATTGGCTCCCTCTCGTTCACTAGATCCAGTTTTCGAGTTGTTTCCGCGAGTTTTTCACAGCATCAAAGTTAACGATATTATCTTTTATTTTCAAGAATTTAAAGTATCGGACTTCACTTGATTTGACTGACGTAAAGGTCACTACATTGTAAATAAAATTTAGTTTTGGGGTAATTTAAAAAGTTAAGTGGAATCATGTGAAAATTACCCAGAGGAAAGGCGTGGTCTCGTGTAAAATCATGAATAAATAGAGCAGCGAGTTTCCAGGCGGGAGTTTCAAGATTATTATAATTTATTCACATTGCTTGAGACGTTACAACGTTTAACGAGCGTGATTGATATCAATTTGAAACTATCGTGATGGGCGTCAACTTATCAATATTTTAAGCCAACGATACGCGCACAATCGTTGTTTAAGGTTTCTCTCTGACCATAGGTGCGCTAGAAGTCTGTTACAAAATTGTTGAAAGGGACTGTATACTATTGTATATTATTTTAGAGGTCCTGATATCACAGGGCGGGTTAACGTTAATATACAATGTAGTGAAACGTAGAATTCTGACGTAAGGGGATATCTAAAATGGGAGTATGATAAAAGCTAAGCAATAAATTCAACTTTTTCCATCATTATTCAAGGACTTGCATTTCGTCTGAAATCAGTTCAATCTTTCTCCACACCAGAGGTGTATCGTGGTCCCGGTCCGTCACGTGAAGATACTAGGCCACTGCTTTCATAAACTACGCTACTTATAAAAGGATAATAACTCTTCGTTTTTGCCAAAAAAATGAATTTTCCTGGAGTTAACAATTTTCCCGTACTTACCAGAGGTTAATGAATCCATTTTTACATTCACAGTTAGTCCCTGTTTTTTTTTCTAAAAAGTTTTTTGTTAAAATCTCTTAAGAGATAATAACAGAGTATAGCCATCAGTGGAGGTCACGTGATCTGAAGACAATCTCAGATATCAGAATAATAGCTATAACTGCTGTTTTTGTCGTAAAACAGAATATATTATATTTCTATGAGTTGTTCACAATGTTTTTATTGTGAAATATAGATCTCATATGAAGAGTTTTTATCCCTTTAACCCAGAAAACGAACGGAATGTGTTAGGTGTGATTTAGGTAGAGCAACCAAATATGTTAGAATTTGTTTTCACCAATTTATTCAGATGTTATGCGGAACAAATGCTTTATAAAAAGTAATATCTGAAAACAGTTTTAATTCAACTAGAACATATATGAAAGCCGTTCAGAACGCCCCTCCGTGAATAGATAAATATAATTCTTTTAAACCTACACAACAGCTTAAAATGTAATTTATATATTATTATTATACTGCCATACAATGTACACATTCTAGGTAAACCAATAATCCATATTTCAAACAACATTACGTCTTCAGCTTCACAAAAATAAAGGAAATTTATGTTCTTAATTATTAACATCAACACAGATTTAAAACAATGTAATTGATAGAAAATTAGACATTCATACAAAGTTTAATCAAATCAAACCAATTCAATGTGGTGTTCACAACTTAAGCCTCACAAAAACAATTTCATCAAATCATTATAATATTGCTCATAAGCAAACAGAATGGAAATTTTATCACTTGGTTGTCTCAGTTTGTGGGTCAAAGTTTAAACAGACAAAACAGCCCCACACATTTTGATATTTAGTTTTGGAAGAAAAGGCAGAAAACAAAAGCAAGATTTACATCAGTCTCTTGTGATAACACATGAATCATCCAATGGGACTATCATAAAAGTTGAAAAAAGAATGAAAATATATTAATACTAAATATCAGTGTTGCCTGATATAAAACTGATCTAACACCAGAAAGATTTGGAACTTGATGTGCTACACTCTAATTATTTCTCTGATCCAAATTACTGCCCAGTTTTAAGTCACTTGAGAAGAAAAACATGTCTCAGGCCCTATTCCCGTACCTAGATCGATCTAGCAGGATCGACCCATCTCCAAAAGGTTTCTCACTAAAGTACATTCAGCTTAAGTGGCTCTGATGTCTGGCACGCCTACTGTAGCTGTAAGAGGGTAATTAACTATCATTTAACAGCTTCAGTAGGTGTGCCAGACATCTAAGCTGCTTAATCAGAATGTAATTTAATGAGAATCCGGAGAATACGGGGAGGGGTCGATCCTGCTAGATTGATCTAGGTATGGGAAAGGGTCTAAGTTAATCGACGGGTCAAGATTTGTATTTGATGAACTGAACCAGATTTGTCCTTGCTGTCACACTGATAGGAATGTGGGCCCCCAAGCTGCTTTTCTGTTGATGAATCTGGAAAATTTTCACAATATTCCTTCAAAAGATATCCATTGCTTTAATTGATCAATATGCCTTTAAATAAAGATATTATTACAATGTAAAAAAATATTAAATACCCAACTGCAGGAATCATTTTAGTAAGCAAATGTGACATTTTTTATGTTGTCCACTATGCAGATGATAGAACTGCTGCTGATATAGGTCTATATTTGTTTTGATAAATAAATAAATAAATAAATAAATAAATAAATAAATAAATAAATAAATAAATAAAACCACAGGGAGCAGTTTTACCTCAGCTGTCAGCTGTGGCACCATATGGTCTGGAGTTTGTCTGTCACCCTGATCTCCATGACAACAGGTCCAGATGATCAACGATGGCGTCCAGAGGCTTAGTAACCACCCATAATTACAAGAAATGTGCCAAAAATCTGAAGTGAAAAATCAACTAAATAACAAATCTGACATTGATCATAGATTTGCAAGAACTCTTACTGAGTGCAAACAGCTGAAGTGAATGACATGCCTCAACATACTTGCATAATCAGAAGCTATTTTGTATTCTATTCAATGCCTGCAGAGGCATGTCATTCAATTAAGCTGATTGCACTTTGCGAGAGTCCAGTCACAGAGTTGGATCACTCTAAGTAGACCTATGGTGTCTGTGAGAATAAGCCCAGAGAGAGAATATAAAGACACAAATATAGTGCCTGTATATAAACACACATTAAACACATATCTTCTATGCTGTTAGTATGGAGCAGATTCAGTGGCATCTATAGGCCACAGAGGTGACACAAGAATTGTAAAATTCTTTTAAAAAATCAGATATTTTCACCTCAACAGGTATGGTCAGTCTATAATAGTAGTAAAATGTGTTTTTCATTTTTTCAATTATTTTTGTTTGGTTTGGTTTTTCTGGCCAGCCATCAATACTACTGTGTCTGTACTCTTTCAATATTTTAATCTATCAACTGAACACAACCATTCATTAACACTGGCAGTATGAGTAAACCATCATCATATTTATATAAAACCCAAA